TAGGGTTTAGGAAGTTTAGGGTTTAGGGGTTTCATGGGTAGTTATAAGTGGGGTTATAAGTAGGGTAACTATACTTATAACCCATATTAGGGGACTTATAACTCCACTTATAACTACCCATGAACCTCCAAATAGCCGCAGGAGTTGCTGCTCATGGCCAGAGATGGGACGGCTGATGAGATGCGGAACATCCAGCAGGAAGAAGCATCCGGGCTGATCGCGGAGGAAGAGGCGCAGCTGCGGACATTGACCAGGGCAGTTTTTGAGCCAATGCTTAGAAGAGGGTTCTGCAAGTTTTCGTCGGAGCTTCCTGTGAGGATTTCGAGCTGACTGATGAGTCTGGCAATGGAGCTTTGGACTATGCCATCCTTCGAGAGGATGTAGGCATGGAGACGTGGCTTTGTTCTCGTGGAGCTCGCTCCCCAAACGGGCGAGCAAAGCTCCATCGCCAAGCCGTGCGGAAGGCCCATGGCAACAGCTTGGGTAACAGCCTGATGAGCGCGGGTCTTTCAGAGATGTCTCACCCCTAGGCAGCCCAAAGCAGAGCCGCAGCCCCAAACAGGGGCCCGGCTGGCTGAACAAGATGCAGCAGGCAGAAGAAAAATCCCATACCACTATGATTCATGTATATGGGCGGCGTCAGTGCATCCATGGAAAGTGCAGCCGGGCTGAAGGAAAGGCAGCTTCGGAAAGGGCGGCTGTAGCGGTGAGCCGAACAGTGACTCCGCTGTTAGGCTGATGCAGAGTCTGTTTCAGGCAGGTGAAATCCCGGACAAGTAGGCTTGCTGCAATGACCACCGAGATTCTTTGGCAGCCTGCTATTCAACTGGTTTCTTGGCCCCGAAGCCTAGATTGCAGCGGGTCAGGATTCGGGGTGGTATGAGATGCTGCAGCTCCTGCAGTCCTACAGCCTGTTTCTCTGCGGCTTCCGATTCAAGAGTTTCAGACAGTAGGCAGCATCCCGATCCTGAACCCCAACGTGTTCGCTTGTGAAGGGCGGCATGATGTTTGAAGTAGCCATGGGTCCTCATACTGTAGTTCATGGATTCGCGAGCTGGTTCAAGGATTCAATCACTGCTGCACCAGGATAGGGCACAGTCCGCAGGATGAGATCAGCTGCGGTTGCAAACAGCATGCCTCAACAGCGTATTTCGTGGGTCTGAGAGTGGGCACCGTGCTTGTTTGGGCAAGCATAGGCATGCGGGCCTGTGATAGGAGCCATGGCTTTTGCTGGAGCCGATGGCCATCTGTGGCAATGCACGGTTGGCCAGCCCAAAGTCCGCATCCGCGGGCCGCAGGACTTGAAAGGTGTCTGCGTGGAGGCAGTGGCAGATGCCGACGTCGATGAGACACTGCTGGCGGAGGTGCCTTTACTGGCTACTCCACCCTCCTCGCCTGCACAGCGGAAGCGCATAGATGCTTTTTGCAAGACACTGCCCGAGGACACACGGGAAGACCGTTTGGTTGCACTGCTGACTAGGCGCTGGATTCCCGTCCTTTGCGCCTTTGCCGATGCACCGAAGGATACCCAAGAAGCCGTGTTGAGCTTGCAGTCAGACTTTGAAACTCCTGAGTGCGGCATGGCTCTGGCGACGGACCGCGTGGCCACCGCATTAAGTCTTTGCGGAGTGTGCTCGGGCACCATACCGAAGTCCATCTCCCGGTCAAAGCTCTCCCGGGAGCGGATGCAGGAAGTGCTGAATGTCATGGTCATCAATGCTGCAGACACTCTTCCAGACGGCGGCGAGGCCGGCGTCGATCCCCTGAACCATAAACCCAACACCTAGCACCGTGTTTGTTGCAGCGACGGCTTGTGTTTAGGAGCAGTGGGCCTGGACGGGTCCAAAGGAGGCTATGTTATTTTGGGTTTTAGGTTTGCAGATGACCCGTTTGTTTGTTAACGCGGAGCTTCCAACATTGCCGACCTGGGAAAAGAAGCGCAAACACACGGATCGTCGGTAATCAGGAGGTGGACGATTCCAGCAAATCGTATTGCAACATGCTCAAAGTGCCGGCAGTCGTTGAGGCAACAGGAACAACCATTAATGGTAGGACCCTAGTTACAACGATCTGTTTGTACAGCATGATGAACCAGGAGGCAAGAGTCGTAATCGCGGTGGCAGTCGTAGCTGTCGTCGTCGTCGCAGTTGTTGTAATGAGGACGTCGATGCCTTGTAACGGTGGCCCTCGAGTTTAAGTCCCAGCAGTACATGTTTTTGGCATTCTTATTGATGAGCCTCCACGCGGTAGCAGTGCCGATGCTTCAGCAGCGGTTGTTGAACTTTTGCAGTCCTCTGCTCCGCTCACAGGCCGTCTTCTGCATCGGGGCCCTCTTCGAGTGCCAAAGCTGGTGATCGGTTTAGCACGCTTCTAGAATTCGGCAAGTGTCGGGAACTGCTTTTAAAGGGCGAGCTCATCATGTCTAAGGCACTCTTGCGAACCGAACGCCTGCTTCTACCTCAGCTCGGGGGATGCCTCCCTGGCTGCGCGGCTGGGGGTCAAAACCTCGGCGAAGCGAATCTGGATAGGGGCGCCTGGGTGACAAAAGATGCTGCTGTTGCACCGGTTTGCCAGTATGAACCGGCCCGCATGTATATAAGCATACAAGCTTACACACTATAGTGTATATCTCAAAGAGGTGTCTCACGGTTTCACATACGAATACATGCGCTAATGCAAGCGCAGCGTGCAGCAGTTCGCTCAGGCCAGCAGGGGCCATCAAACCTCGTCAGCTCCCACTAATCTGTTTGTTCCACATGCACTTACCCTCCCTTGAGCAATAGCAAATGTCCAAAAAATGAGGTCATCTGCGAAAAACGGAAGTCTACAGTTCTATTTCATAAACTGCAACTAAATCCGACGGACAATGCCCTTGACCCTAAAAAAATCCGACCGTTTGAGCCTAGGAGTGGCGTGCGACACGGCCAGTGCGTTCGGGCGAGGCCGTGACGGTGAGCTATCTGGAAGCAGACATGCTGAAGAGCGTCTCGTCTCGAGTTGAGGGGTTTAGGGGTTTAGGGGCTTGCTAGGGCTCAGAGGTTTTGGGGTTTTGAGTTCAGATTTGAAAGAACAGGTTTAGGGATGAGGCAATGCTACTGGCAGATGGGAGGCTTGGGTTGTTTTGGATCATGGAGAAGTGGGTAGACGTTGGGAACTGGACTCTTGCTACCTGGAGAGCTTGACTTCCGGTGCAAGCCCTCACATCAATTGAATGCTCTTTTGGTCGTATGTATTTCTGCCTGTGACTCCGTCCACGCACGTGTGCATGTGTGTTTGTGTGTGTCCGTGTGGGTGGGGGATGGGCGTGCCGTGTCCGCCCTTTCCAAGCGGCAACTGCACCAAGGACCTGTGGACCAACGGCGTCAGATTTTGGCTGCTCGCATCTTGCAAAGATGTTCAGCGCCACATCTCAGAGTGAAAGCGGAAATGGGCAGTTCTCTAAATTAGGGTCGCTGGTAGGGTGCTTTTGATAAGGGTGCCGCACTATATTGGGACCCAGAAAGGGACCCCAATTTCGAGAACTACCCAAATAGAGGCAGACGCCCACTTGTTTGATGTGGCACCTGGTTCTTCTCGGATCCCTAAACCCTAAACCCTAAACCCTAATCGGCCCGACATTGTTCGTACCATCCGGCCATGCTCCCAATTAGGAGCCCCCACACCCTGGTCCACTGTAGAGGCCTAAGAAATTACTCACTAGGGTTTAGGGTTTAGGGTTTAGGGTACTATATATTTTGGGGGGCTCCTTATTATAATTATAGTAGAATGGGCCCCAAAACCCTGTTCTAACTGTTAAAGTCCCTACATTACAGCTGTTTAGACATGTCTGGTTCTCGGATGTCCTTCCAGCAAAGCAGATCGCTGGAATTCTAGAATCATGCCAATCCTAAACCGCAAAGCCGAACTGCTTGGCTTCACAGTGCCCCTAAACCCTCACGCAGTAAATCCTGAACACAGGCACCTCTGCATCAAAGGCTATCTCTGCTGTCCCTCGCTCTGACTTTCTCTCTAGATCAAGCAACATAATTTTGTTGAACGCCCACCCAGTCTGTGGCCCAGACATGCTTGAAGTGCGTACATCGTTCGCGATGGCCCCATGCGTGCAGGCATAGGTACAACCGTACAGCCAATCAGGGATCGTTGTCTTTGCTGTTATCACCATATACTTGGAACACTGTCTACTTAAACTGTTTGTTGCATGATGCTTGTGCATGTGCGCGCAACTATCTCCACATCCCATGCCGCCAGCACAAGAGACTATCAAATGCGAACCTATTCATGGCGATGGCGGATGGTACCAGGAAGCCCTAGGAGGTTTGAAGCTTAAGCTCCACGCAACCCCCAACAGCACTGCCCGATGCAGCGAAACTAGATACCCACAAACCCGACACCGTAAACCCCGCATCCTAAACGCTGCGCACACAGCACTTCACCTTCAAGCTCAATAATGTAGGGGCCTAAATAGTTGCCTATCTTTGGGGGTTCCTTATTATAATTATTATCGTATATTGCTTGGATGATCGCGCGGGGTTATAGAGCTTAGTAGAAGTTAAGTTACTTATGTAAGACTTAGACCTATGATTATAGAGTTTGTAACTAGTAACATAAGTGGTTACATAAGTGTTAAGCAATGGTTTAAATAAACACTTATGTAACAACCTATGCAAACTGCTAAGTGTTTAGCATAAGGCACCTAAGTAGTTAGCATTTCGCCAGAACAAGGAATTGAAGGAACGAAACAAGGATTTTGAAGAAGCAAAATACACAGAGTAATGACGGCAAGCCATCAGAGACACAGAAGCAGCAGTTGCAGAAGCAGCAAGCTCGCAGGAAGATGTGCACACTTTCAGCTCGGAAGCTCTTGAAAGTTCATGGCGAAAAGCAGAGCCCGAAGGCTTTTGAAGCCGATAATAGGCTGTTAAGAACCGATCTACAGCCGAAGTCAGCCCAAAAAGGCAACCACCCATCCCTGTCAAGAGTTGGAAGTCCGAAACTAGACACGATGAGCAACGAGTTAATTACTGCCCTGGCAAAGTGAAAGCCATTCTTGTCTTCTTTTTTCAAGCCAGCAGCTCATTATCGATGCGGCAGGGGAACGACTACTCGCACATCAACATCATTCAGGCGGCTGTAGGATAAAGAGCTCTTGATCTCCTCCGTGCTCACCAGCATGCACTCTTCAGTTTTCCGGCAGATCCAGCTCTGCTTTTCATGCTTCACAGTCTCAAGAAACGAGACCAAAGAATACAACTGCCCGTCGAAGGAGCAGTGAAACCAAACTTCGGCAATCTGCATCCCATGCCGCATCACCACCAAATCGCCTCGATGACAACCGCCCGCAGGCTCCAGCTGAACTGAAGAACAAGTGAAGATTTCCTCAGCCGGACACCCCATGCATTCTGTCATAAACTGAACCATCTTGTTGGGGGCCTTGCACTTCTGCACTAGCCTGGCAGCTGTTCCGAAAACATCCGGCTCCTGGAGGTCTGCAATGTTGTGTCCGAGCAGCTCCATCAGCAGTGTTTTTTCGTAGCCCTGTGTATTGGTGGTGCGACCTCCGTATCGCTTGGCGACTTTGTGTTTACGTTCTTGGACGAAGCATGTGGGAAGGAAGCCCCAGCGGGCTAATTGCCGTGGCATGTGCAAAATCCAGTGAAACTTGGGGTGGAACTCATCCTTCCAGCCTGCCGTGCAACATGCTTCCAGGAAAGCTGTAATAGCTGTTGCAAGGTTGGTCGGGGTCGTGGTCGTTCCCAAGGCTGTGGCCTGAAGCAACTCCAAGACATTGACCAAGCAAGCATAAGCAGCTATCTGCTCCTGGCAGATCCCCAAGGGGCCAATGATTAGCAGCAGAAAGAAAAGAAAGGGAACCATAGCTGACAGGCCTTCCGAAGCAGTGCACTTGAACGTCTTGGCATCTTTGTTGCTCTGCCTTCGTTTCGGTGCGAAAAGGGAAGGAAGATTCTCAGATCGTGACTTCGGCAACACCCATGTTTTCATGTACTCACCGCAGGTCTGGTACACGTCCCGTTGCAGCTGCTGCTCCACCTGTGTCATGATTAGCCACATAACTCGATTCCTCAGTGTGTATTGAAGCGAGGATAACAAAAGTAGAAACTTTTTCGGGATTTAGGGGCATGACCTTATTCCACGATGCGGAACAGGATCGCAAAGTTCTAACACCAGCCGAGGCTCCAAATGCCTTTGACAAAAAAGGCATGCATGTAATCGTGGCACCACTGACTAACGGGTTTCACCAGTTTGCACAGGTCTGCTTGATAAATGAGGCAGTGCTCGTTGTACACCAGCCCGGAGGCTTGTTCCCACAGGGCGAAATCGCCCTTCGACAAAGTAGCTCTCTTCTCAAGCAGCGATATGATGGACTGTGCGAACGAAGAGTCCGTAGTCAGTTCTAGCTGATCTTCACGGGTGGCTCGATTCATGACCACAGTCTGCTCGCTCTCCACAGATCCACTCGTGACGACATTGCACAATGTGCAACAGCGGGTACCGCCATCACCCTTCACCGAAAAAAGAAGTTTATGAGCTTGGCCGTCCTGGCAGAAAGCCCCTAATTGGAATCTGAGCCGCTGCAAGGTGCCGCATGGTGCCTTCAGGTTGAAGCCCAAGGATGGATCCACGATGTCATGGTGGAATATGTTCCGCAGAACAATTGCAGCTAATTGGGAGGCCCCGCCAGGCATATTGGCGATCGCATGATTGTCACCGGCAGCCAACTTTGTTCTTTCGATAAAGCCTGGGCTTTGAAGTCCATGAAACTAATATACACCGCCCAGAGTTTGCGGCTAGGATCCGGAGCAAGTGGGTTGCCACAATTTATTTCGTCTGTGTAGTATACCAGCTTGAAAATCTGCTGGCTGTTGCTTGTACTTCTTCGCACCAAAGCCCGGAAGCTGCTAGACACCGTCCACACTGCTTGCAGCAAGGTGTACAGGTTGGCTAAGAGGACTTGCACCGGCCGACCATCCAAGCCATCTACAGTCACGGTCTCCAGCATGGGGCCGTATGCAGAGTGCTGACACACAGAGTGCTCTGTCGCTTCTCTGATATGCCGCCGGCCCTTTAACTCCGGGAGTCCAGCCGCCTCGATCTCCGTCAGTAAGCCTGACATGGCTGCTGCCGACATGGCGGGGACCTTTCGTCGCACAGCCTCGAGCTTCTGCAACTTCGAAGCCCGGTCCATGGTCGGTATGCAGGCGGCCGCAAGCCTATACTTGAGTAGATCTAGAAGAGATTAGAACTACTGGCCAGGCATGCACTGCTGCAATCGTTGGGCTTGTCGGCTCATCTGGAACTGCAGCAAGAAAGCTCTGCAGGATACATCATCAGACACCCGTCGTTTATAGCCCGAAAGCTCTTCACCGCCCAAGAAGCATCCATGCAAGGCAAGGGCATGCAAGAAGTTTTTTTCTTGTGCGAGCCACCCCATGCGACATCCATGGCAGCCGTTGCAGCTGTGCAGCTTTTGCCAGGTGCCAACCGCCAGAACATGTTGCGAAACCCCAGAGACCTGAACACATTTCAGTGTTGTCGATCCGAACCCGCATGCCCTTGCACACCAAAGAGAATATATCGTGCAAAGGTTGCAAAACACTCAGAGCAGCTCACTTGTGGCTTTGCCACTTCTGGGCTGCTGCCTGCCTGGCCTTTCGGCCATATGCCTTCTCATCCTCCTCAGAGTAGCCCACGGCTCTTGCCATCTGGCGAGCTTTGTGGTAGTGGCGGTCGGTGTAGGTTTCCCGCATTCTCTTCAACTGCTCGCTCGTGGGGCTGGGTGGGTTGTACTCGGGGAGCTTGCTGCTTGTCGAAGCCTTCGGCTTAGCACTGGCTTTCTTGGTAGGCTTCGTCTTGGCCTTGGCTTTCGCCTTGGCTTTGGCCTTTGCTTTGCCAGCCTTCGCAGCCTCTTTGGCTTCTGTCTTCTTCTCCTTCAAGGCCAGGTAGAGCTTCTGCTCGATGTTGTGGTCTTTCCCGGGCTCCGGTGTGTCCTCCTTGTCGTCCTCGCACTTCTCGTCCGGCACGTCCTCCTCCGAAGCCTCGTTGTCCTCAACAGGCTCTGCTTCCTTTGGAGCTTCAATCGCCTGAAGTTCCTGCTGCCCAGCCTTTGTTTTCGGCGGGGAGTAGCTCTTTCCGCCTGCTGGCAGCATTTGCAAGCCTTTTGGCCGAAATTGATTCGTCGAGCCTTGGCGGCATGCGAACTGCACCCCTTCCTTCTTGTCGTAGTTGCCGCCCATGGCAGAGCACATGCTCTGACACATGTTCATCATCATGCCCATCATTCCCATCATGGGATTGCCGTCCATGTCGCCCTGCAAGCTTGTCAGCTGCTGCATGCCGCCGGCCGAGCTGGCAGCTTCTGTAGTCTTCCTCTTGCTACCAACCTTGGAGCTGCTTGTCCTCAGAAACTTCAAGCCACGAATGTGGGCAAACTGTTCCAGGTGACGAGGCTCCGGCTCATGCTCCTTGTAGCTGTGGTCGTACAGCTTCTGAGGCAGCTTGCTCGGGTGCTCGGGATAGTTGATGACAATCGGCAAGTGTGCTGGGCAAGCCTCTGTCGTCTGAAAGCAAGCCTTCATCTCGAGAGAAATCTTGTGCAGCTCACTTTCCGGCGGACAAGTCGTCAACGTGCATGCCAGGAGTGCCACGGTGGCACCAACTGTTTTTTCGGACATCGATCTGAACCCGAGCTTCTTCAGCCGATCCACCAACAGCTTTTCCTTTGTCCACCAGCCACAAGAGCTGTCCTCGAGCACAGACCAATCAGGCCCTGTGAGGAACATGGAGATGTGCACCAGGGTCTGGGGCTTCAAAGCCACGACGGTAGTTCCTTGATGCTGCTCTGTTTCTCCGAGCATGGAGTCGACCTTGTCCATGATGGCCTCTTCCATTTCGGAGGGCAGAGACAGCGACTGCAAGTGCTCTTGCATCTGGATGGCCTCCGTGGCGGTGAGGGTGCCCAAACTTTGGAGTTTGAACTCAATGTTCTTCAAGAGCTTGGCCTTCATGGTGTCCTTCACCGAAGATCTTTTTTTAAGCAAGCAGCTGGTGTCCGAAATCTCCTCGAGCACGTCCTTGAAAGACCACTTGGCCATGTCTTGGAGAGTGCTACAAAAGCAGAATACTTCGAACTACACACTTGAGAAAGCTTACTCAGCCCAAATGGCTCTTCGGAAGCAGCCAAAACTTCAAGTACAGGACTCCATGCGGCTGCAACAGACAGCAAGGAAGACACACCCAGACTTACAGACACACAAGACCGGCAACGTCAGCAGCTTAGCAGCACGACCATCCAAGGCAAAGACTTTTGGAGACAAAGCACAGCCAGATCGACGACAGGGCATGGAGCAAGACAAGTTTGAGCCCGAAGGCTTTTTCCTATTTGCACTACCAGCCTTAAAGGCTTTTGTTTTGCGAATATTCTCCAGCCCGGAGGCTTCTCCCTTCCTTTGAGCCCGAAGGCTTCTGCCTAGTTCTAACACGAGCCCGAGGGCTTTTCTATCCTAGCCAGCCCGGAGGCTTCTTGCTACCTACAATTACAGCCCGAAGGCTTTTGTGAGGACCTCTCTTTTTTTCCGAGGCAGGGGCTCGACGGTGCTTTGTCTCGTGGTGCTCGTGGTGCACGTGAGCAAGAGCAGGATCCCCCGAACACAACAAAAGACACTTTCTAGATTTCCTATGTTTAAAGAACCCCTGTCTCAAAAACTTCTGGATCCTGCTCTGCTTGCCTTACTAAAGGTCCTGCAGGCAGTGCAGCCCCGGATGCCAGCTTTTGTTTCGAAACTTAAACCTTTATGATGTTTCTAGCATATAGAGTCTCTACAACCTTGACCCCTAGTGTGGCATGCCTGGGGCTTCTGCTTTGAGCTACGGGCTACTAGGGACCTGTGCTAGGGGCTGCAGACCTAAGGTTCAACTAGTATTATCTTCCTAGTAGTGCCAAGCTCCTCTCTTCTGGGTTTTGGTTTTACTTTGGTGGTCTAGGGTTTTGGGTTTCGGGGGAGCACTTAAGGGCTGCACGTCAGGGTTTAAGGTCTCAAGGGCAGGGGGCTAAAGGGTTCAGGTATTTAGGTTTAGGGTTTCGGTTTCTCGGGGTTCGTCGGGTTTAAGGTTGGTGGTTCCGGGCTTATATACATATATATATATATATGTATAGCTATATGCCAGTACCAGTATTATTGAAACCCTTGGCCTGCAAGCCCCTCTGACCCTCTAAGCCAAAACAGCTCGAAAGCTTTTGTAGCCGAAGCTATCCTAGTCTAGAGCCGTATCCGTAGCTAAGAGCTGATCGAGTTGTAGTGGTGGTAGTAGTGGTAGTAGTAGTAGTAGTAGTAGTGGTAGTAGTAGTAGTAGTATAGTAGTAGTACTAGTCATAGTAATAGTATTAGTACTAGTAGTAGTAGTAGTAGTAGTAGCAGTAGCAGTAGTAGTAGTAGTAGTAGTAGTAGTAGTAGTAGTAGTAGTAATAGTAGTAGTAGTAGTAATAGGAATAGTACTAGTAATAGTAGTAGTAGTAGTACTAGTAGTAGTAGTAATCGTAATAGTAAAGTAATACTAGTAGTAGAAGTAATAGTAGTAGTAGTAGTAGTAGTAGTACTAGTAGTAGTAGTAGTAGTAGTAGTAGTAGTAGTAGTAGTAGTAATACTAGTAGAAGCAGTAATAGTAGCAATAGTAGTAGTAGTAGTAATAGTAGTAGTAGTAGTAATAGTGTAGTAGTAGTAGTAGTAGTAGTAGTAGTAATAGTAATAGTAATAGTAATAACAATAGTAATAGTAACAGTAGTAATAATAGTAATAATAGTAGTAGTAGTAATAGTAGTAATAATAATAGTATAGTATAGTAGTAATAGTAGTAGTAGTAGTAGTAGTAGTAGTAGTAATAGTACTAGTAATAGTAGTAGTAGTAGTAGTAATAGTAATAGTAATAGTAATAGTAATACTAGTAGTAGTAGTAATAGTAATAGTAGTAGTAGTAGTAGTAGTAGTAGTAATAGTAGTAGTAATAGTAATAGTAGTAGTAGTAATAGTAGTAGTAGTAGTAGGTAGTAATAGTAATAATAATAGTAGTAGTAGT